AAAAGTGGCGTGCGGTGGGTAGGTCCTCAGAAGAGGAGAATCCCCATTGCCACTGCTCTCTAACCCAGGCAGAGCAAGCCTCTATCTACCCAACTACACCCCTCCTAAGACCCCATAGAGCAGGCGGCGTTCGAGTTCGGGCTTTACTTAGTAGGTACGAGCACAGGTCTGTCTATCGACGGTTGTCGCGGCGTTTCAGATTTAAGCTATATTAGTCCGTACGGCGGTACCGTACCATGTCACCTGGTACCATAATTTGGCACAGACAGCTAGGTACCGGACGGTAGGCGAAGTTCAGGCCGCGCGGCTCGGTAACACGAGTCGATCGGCAAATTTCGTACCTAGCTCCAACCCAGGCGAAACCACTTTTAGACCGACGGCCCGGCTGTCGAAATTGGTCGAACCGGTCGGTTTTTGGCAGGTTTACCTCCGGAGTACCTCGGTATTACTGCGGTATTCGACCTACGGCCAAGTTGCACCATAAATGTCCCGTGACATTTGAGGTGCTGTGGCACTCACGTTCTGACATTGAGTTGGCTTGGCCAACGCACTGCTTTGTATATTGGTATTGTTATTGTTATTGTTATTGTACGTCTCAACGGGGCTCGAAGTCGAAATATTCACTTGCGAGTGATCATCAAGATCGAAGATCAAAAGACCCAGCATCCATCGAAATGTGGAACTTGTCTAACTCTGTACGGTGCACTGCATGACTGGCCCTCGCCTTTCACACAATGTACGTTCAAACGGTCGAAAGCATGCATGCCAGGTTCATGGGTTTGACTTCACTACCGTATATAGCTTGCTCAATTGGCCTTCTGTTTATTACCATCAGGAAGAGGCTAGCTACCCTTGCCTCATCAGACGCCGGGCCAACCAATACATTAACTAAGCTCTGCAACATGACAACTGTTATATTCCAGCAGCTAGTAGCCGGAAATGTAGTCTCATCGAGGATTTCAATGTGGGTTTGATTCAAAGAATCTGTTTGAAGGGGCGAAACACAAAGTCAAAGTCAGATGTGCCTTCGCATGCCTTCGCAGCTAGGGCCTTCGCCAATAACACAGATGTAAAATCAGGGGTGACATCAGCTTGAGATAAGTGCTGTAGGGGAGGTTTTAGCTGGAGAGTCTCGGATCACGTTATGGCCGAAACGAGTTTCTCGTACACTTCCCGTGGGGTCAGATCGTCCACCTGCATTAGCCAGACGGTGGCCAGTCAGGCGATCGCTGTTGTGACATGCGAGGTTGCAGCAACACGTTTCGAAGGAGGTAAAAGTCTGCTTTGTCAAACCGGGCCTCATTGATCAAGGACACCGGACCAAAGCCTTCGGCTTTTTTTGTAAAGAGATGGGCCTTGAGGTCGTAATGCATCCTTACCATAAGCAACTTGGACTTCACGCTCCAGCCTCGTTGAAGCTCGATCTGAGTAAGCCGCAAGCCCAGCACCTGTGGAGGGAAGCGTCGGGTGTGACAATCCATCTTCCAAATTCACGGGTGTTATCGAGACATAACATAAGCCCGACTCGTCGATCGGGAGAGTAAGCAGCATAGTGGAAGCAGGAGAGAGGCAGACGGGCCCAGGATCAAGGCCTGCGATTTGTATTAGCTTCTGGAAGGCAGCAACTTCCCTCTTATGCAATCAACAACGATACGCGTTCAACAACAACACGGAGTAATGAATCCTCAATTCGCGGACATAAAATACGCACGAAGCAAGTTAACATAGACCTCGCCAGATAGGTGCGCCGAGCTACCAATGAGAAGCAATCAGGTTGCCGGCATCGAAAGGGTGCACGACTTCGAACTCAAGCACGCTTCGACGAGAACAGATGTGCACGTTTGCCAAACTGTTGCCTTTTCTAATCCGCACCAGTCCCATGAACTCGAGCAGCTCAGTGTTTGCCACGCCCCCAACGTTGGGAGCGGTCACGGCCACTCGGACGTCATCGGCGTTCACTCCTGCACACAAGATGTAAGGGAACAAATGTGAGAGCAGTGCCCATGTCCGTCCAAAGGACCCTTCCGGGCAACGGAAGAGCGAAGTGTGCAGAACCTGAAAGGCTGCGGGTCCCCTTTTCAAGGCCGGTTACTTTGCCGTCGTGCTTTGCACATGCTGGTACCCAAGAAGGTCGAGAGCTGCTTGAAACGGCCCCTGTCTGCAACCTCAAGTGAACCTCAGTCTCACGTCGGACATGTACTACAGGTCAGCAAACTTGGCCGATGGCCGATACCCGAGCCACCGATTCTTCGCCATATGACCTTGCTCCCTTCTGGTTGCCACCCTATGAAAAGCGAGGACTCCCTCTGCAAGGCAACGGGCTTGCTCACACTTACGAGTTACTGCCGGCCGGGCGGCTCTGTCTTCCACCTCCACTGCAATCTGCACCCGGTTCCCGTCCACTTGCCGGATGCACGGGGGCACAGGGGCGTCCTGCGCAACAGGAGTAGCCACCAGAGTATGAGCATGTGCAAGGGATGAGAGGATCCTTGCAGGGGGTACGATGCACGTCTTTAGGAAACATTGGGCAACGCATGCGAAACCAAGACAAAAGTTCTGCCTTCCACAGACAAAAGCAATACATGAAGCGAAGGGAGCGGGCCCACCTTGGGGTTGGCCTCCGCTGCGCCCTGGTTGAGCGCCTTGTCCAGGATGTACAGGTACTTGGCGGTGGCAGGGTCCTCCTCTGCGCGGTAGCACACCAGCAGCTCGCAGCCAGGACAGCTCATGCGGAACTGACGCTCCACCATGCTCTCCCCCCTGGCAAATGCAACGAGCACACGCTGGGGATACTTACGGTCCCCCCGAACAACCATGTTATCAACAACTGGGCAGTCACAACCAGGCTCCTGTCCGTACCTAAGCAACCTCTTGACAGCCTCTCAAGGAGGGAAGGAAGGAACTCTGGCCACACCAAGAAACAGGGGGCACAACGGAATCATTAGAAAGCTCACAATTCCCTTGTGCCTCTCCTGTTGCCTCCTCTGTAGCTTTGAAAGATCTCTGCATGACAGCTAAGGAGATCTGCCAGCCTACGCAACCAATTTATCACATGCCAAAAGTGGCAACTTTGTAGGGTGTGTCTTCTGTCAGCCTTCAAGCCATGTCTTGGCACACATCAGTTTCCCGGTGCACTGCCAGATATTGCAAGACAAGAGTGGAAAACGCCTTACCGTTTTAAGAGCTGTTTGCCAGCTTGGGAAACATTCAACTTGTTGAGGTAGCGGCCACGATCGAGTACAAAAGCGTTGTCTGTCTTCCGCCTTGGTAATCGGGACAAGAGGACATCTGAAGGGAGGATGCAGGCATCAGGTCAGCACAACTGCTTTTATGTGTCGATTCGAGGTGATAGTCGAATGAGTTGCAGGGAAGGCCAGCCCTCCAGGTTCAGCTACAAACATTTGAGCAGGATGACCAACAAAATGTGTTTAGCCATGAATTATGAGACTTAGACATGACAGATTACCACTAGCATCAGCCCTGTGCCTGTGGCATTGTTTGTACAGTGATACACAATTGGCCTTTGTGCAACCCACATGCCAGTGCCCACCTGCACAGGACCCTCAGTCAAGTATAGGGAGAGGTCTTGCCACCTCACCTGTGATGAGCACGTGGGCACCACACGCGCTGCAGTAGTAAACAAACAGCTTCTTTTCGCCATCAGCAGGAGCATCCTCGCTGCTGTAGCTGTGGGTGGTGCGCTTGGGCATGGCGACAAACCAAGCTGACCAGCACTACAGCCTATGCGACGTTCTCAGCTCATTAGTTTCGCAGTTGGGCAGCTGGAAAGAAGGATTCTCTGTTGTGACGGGCCCGCATCAAGAGGTGGTAAGTGGTGATAATCCACAGCAAACCAAATGAAGTTCGGTGTTAAATTTGGGCGAATCACAGCGCGCCCCGTCATACCCCCAGAGCCTAAAGGTGTCG